CAATTTCAGAGCAAATTTAGTTCATAGAACAATTAAAGTGAAGGTTCAGAAGTTTTCTAAGTAGTCTAAACCTTCACAGATACATAGCCCCACAAGCCACCCTGATGGTACATTAGTTTCCAGAGTCCATAGTTTACATTTGGGGTAGCTCTTACATAGTCTGTACAACTAGAATAATTTTTAATGAGATGTGATTTATCCACCCTTATATCAGCATACTATACTTTTTTTTTTACTGCCTTTGCTATTTTAAAAAAATTGTATCTTTTTTGAAAGTAATGTTGCAACACTAGCTTTGTCTAGTCTTTGCATATTTTCCATCTTTCAGTATACTTGGTCTTTTGAATTGTCTCAGAACATTTAAAAATCCTATCTGATGACTAGAGATGAAGTTTTACCATGTTTTTCTTTCTGGCTTATTGCCTTTTTTGGAATTATATTATTTTTAATAGAGAAAATCTAGTCTTTGTCTCTCTCTGTTAGAAACTAAAATAAGGCTCGGGCGGTGATTGCTCACACCTTTATTCCCAGCACTTGGGAAGCAGAGCCAGGATCTCTGTGAGTTCAAGGCCAGCCTGGTCTACCGAGTGAGATCCAGGAAAGGTGCAAAACACAGAGAAACCCTGTCTCAAAAAACAAAAACAAAACAAAACAAAAAACCAAAAAAAAAAATTAAAATAGTGTAACAACATCTATACATTTATATTTATTTAAAATGGGTTTATTGTGTAACGTAGGCATGTTTGAAACCTTTTATATCTGGCTGGCCTGCTACCAGAGTGTTGGGATCAGAGACATGAGTCACTATCCTGGCAAGTGTGTACTTTTCACATTTTATAGAAAATACAAAAAGTGAGTGCTGTGGATATCGCTATATGTAAATAAACCCTGATTGGCCAATAGACAGGAAGTATAGGCGGGACTAACAGAGGAGAATGGAGAAAGGAGGAAGGAGAGGGAAGACTGCCTGGAGCGGCCGCCAGGACAAGGAAGATGTAAAGTACCGGTAAGCCACGAGCCACGTGGCAAAGTAAAGATTAATAGAAATGGGCTGACTATAAGAGTGAGAGCTAGACAATGATAGGCCTGAGCTAATGGCCAAACAGTTTAAATAATGTAAGAGTCTATATATTTATTTTATAAGTGGGTTCTGGGACTGGCGGGACTTGGCGGCGGGAGCTGGAGAGGAATTCTCCAGCTACAACCAACATATTTTTTTTATTTGTATTTTAATTTTACATGTGTTTGCTTGCCTGTATGTATGTATGTATGTATGTATGTATGTACTATATGTGTGCTTAGTGCCTCAGGAAGCCAGAGGAGGGTATATCCCTGGAACTGGAGTTTAGAGTTTGCCATGTGAATGCCAGGAAGTGAACCTGGGTCTTCTACAAGAGCAGGAAGTGTTCATAAGGGCTGAGCCATCTCTCCAGCCCCTTGATGTATTTTTTATTAACATTTAACTTTACCATACTGAAGAAAATACAACTTTATAACTTTATGGCTTTATTGTTGCTATTGAGAAGTCAATTTGTCAGAAAACACACACCTCACAACTCACCTCCCTCTGTTTCTACATTATATTAGTAATCTAATATATTTAAGTAGTTCCACATGATTGGCATTAGATGTTCTTACCAGTTGAGCCATTTTACCATCTGTAATCTGTCAATTTAATGGAGAATTTTAGATGGAAATTATGGAGATTAAGGACTTTTTGTTTTGGTGTTTGTACTGTTTGTTTATTTACTGGTAGTTGTAGGTCTTTATGGAGTTTGAATCCAGTGAAGTGATAAAATAGTAAGCTTTTTTGTAAGGCTACTTGTATTTATTTCTCAGCTCTTCTCTTTCTTTTAGAGGAAGCTTGAAGGTTATGTATTCCTATTTTAAAGGTAGGCTTGTTTTAAGTCCTTGACATTCTTTCTTAAGCAAGAATGACATGTCACAAGTGAGGATGGCTGTTTCATTTTCCTGTGGAGTTGTTGCATTGTACTGTCCTTTATTTCTTATTCTTACAGGATTTAGTAATTTTCCCTATGCTATGTGTAGTTACTCATACAGCTTTGGTTATTCTCTGGCTTGTGGCTTCATTTCTGGATTTGGGCTTGTAAATCCTTATGGCATTATTACTGTGGTTCTTTAATTTTCTAATAGTAGTATAGGACTCATTGGCACATTTAAATTTTGTTGTTATTGTAAACAAATGAGTATACTGTTGTGCCAAATGAGTATATTTAATTTACCATATACCAAGTTAATATATTTAATTTCATAGTTTGAAGATCACATGCTTAAGATACTGAGAATGTCCGGCTGGAGAGATGGCTCAGAAGCTAAGAACACTGGCTTCTCTTTACAGGCGATCTGGGCTACAACCATCTATAACCTCCAATTCCAGGGTATCTAACCCTCTGCAGGTAGCAGACACTGTATGTGGTATACAGACAAGCATGCATTAATACATAAAATAAAGCATATGGACTCTGAGCCCATTCATGTCTGTTATCTCAGCACTTAGGAAGTGGAGGAAGCAAGATTAGTTCCTCGGTTACCTAGCAAGTTTGAAGACAGCCTGTGGGTTACATGTCTCAAAAAACAAAAAACAAACAAACAAACAAAAAACAAAATGGAGATGAGGCTATGGCTCAGCTCAGTTGCTAAAGTATGCACAGAGCCCTTACTTCAACCTCCAGTACTGTTTTATGATAGTGTAATTCCAGTACTTTCCTGTCACCTAGCACTTATGATTGTAGGGTGAGTTCAAGGCTGTGCTTCACACAATAATAATTTGAATGAGCCCTATCTCAAAAAGCATGAAACAGAAGGGGGAGATGTGTGACAAAGAAGAAGCACATTAAATGTCAATTCCATAATGAACCTTCTGTAGACAGTACATAGAATATGATAACTTGTTCACATTTTCTGTCTCCCTCTCTCTTTCTGTCCATCTTCCCTTCTGTCGTTCATCCTCCCTCCCTTCCCCCCCCCCTTTTTTCTGTCTCTCAATCTTCACTGTAAAAATACTAAAGCTTTCCTTCAGTTTTGAAAGTTGCTTCTTAAGTAGGTGGTAGCGTTTCATGAGTCAATGTAATATGGACTGGCTTGGGGCTGCTCAAGATTATTAGGGTTACTAACTAAATTACAGGCTTGTTCCCTAGTCTATCAAATAGCATTCCTGGGATTTAAAATTCTGTAAAAGTAATAGCAGTCTTTTATTCCTTTTTATGTTTTGTATTATTTGACTAGGAAGTACTATCATATCCTAAAATTATAATTTTCTATGTGCCAAAGAAGGGGCTGAAATTCTTTATAATAACTCCCTCCCACCCCCCAGCAAATTTTTTCTTTCTTGTATTGAGTGTCTTGATGAACTATCCTCAGCCTCTTGAATGCTGGGTTGAGCTATCATGCTTCTTGATAGTTTGCTTAGAATAAGGAAGGATAAACAGTTCTTTTGTATAGAATTGGGTCAAATTATAAACTCAACTACTTTTTCCTATCATAGTTAAAAAAGGTCTCAAAAATCCATAACAAATTTAGTTATGATCTGCCAGTGGCCAGGGTGGGTTGGGGAAGATTAGCTATGATTCATCTGTATTCTTTTTAGCACCAGCTTCTGTAAAGATTTCTTCCCCTTGTAAATAGATGTACTGAAAGAATTGATTGCCAGTTTGTTTGGAGGCTTTAAAAAATTGGACTTTGTGAGGTGGTTCATTTCTGTATAGTACTATGCAAGGGGAAATAGGATCCCAGTAACCCAGTATACAGCAAGTCTGTCTCAAAAACAACAAAAATGAAAGATTGGGTTTATTTTTTGAGACAGTTCTCACTACGTAGTGTTGGCTGGCCTGGAACTCCATATATAATGTAGTCTTCAAATTCAGAGATCCTCCTCTACCTGCCTTTACCTCAGCAGGACCCGACTTGGGTTTATTTACACAAACTGTTCTATGATTGAAGTATAGGCTTTAAAAAAATTCTGTGTAGGTTAGGTGTGTGTCTGTCTACATTTGGAGATGTATATTTGAGTAAAGTTGCTTTTGAAGGTCAGGAGAGTTAGATTCACTGGACAGTTAGTTGTTGACTGTCTGACAAGTGTTGGGAGCCAAATTCTGGTCCACAGTAAGAACAGTAACTGGTCTTAACCCCTGAGCCATTCTTCCAGTCCCAAATATTGTCTTGTTTAATGTGGCCTTTTTTCAGTTTCAATTTTTTATACCATCATTACCACTTTGTAAGCTTAGTCTGATTTCACAGCAAGATCTACTATAACTTCAGGATATCTGGGACTATTGCTCAGTTTACTGTAATGAACTGCTTTCGTGGTACTATTAAGATACTGCAGTTTTAGTTTCCATTGTTAGTTACAGCAGAACCATGAAGTAGGCATGGCATGTTGCTATTATTTTTTTTATTCAAGGCAGGGTTTCTCTCTTTAACAGTCCTAACTGTCTGGAACTCACTCTGTAGACCAGGCTTACCTGGAACTCAAGATCTGCCTGCCTCTGCCTCCTGAATGCTGGAATTAAAGGTGTGCTCCACCACCTCCAGGCTACTTTTTATTGTTTTTAAAGTTTGTTTATTTTTGTGTGTCCATGAGTGCATATGAATTGAGGTTAGAGGGCAACTGACTCTCTTCTTCCAACATGGTAGGTCCCAGAGGTCAAACCCAGGCTTGCCAGAAAGTACTTTGACCTGATGAGCCATTTTGCTGGCCGTATGCTTGCACCTTAGGAGCCCGAATGAGGGCACTGGATTCATTGAACTGGAGTTCCAAGTGGTTTTGAGTTGCCTAATGTGGATACTGGAAATCAAACTCAATTCCTCTAGATGAGCAGCAAGTGCTCTTAACCACTAAGCCATCACTGCAGCCCAAAATTTCTGATCTTTTATAACACACTCATAGTCAAGTTACACAGTATAATAAGCTTGCTGCTCCACATTCCTCTATTATATTGTGTGTATCTAATTAGACTTTTTTCCTCCTTTTTATCTTACAGTGAATGGTAGTGTCTAGTAAGGGTATGTCCCTTCAAGAGAGAGGTGCCAATGTCCAACCGGCCTAATAACAATCCAGGGGGGTCACTGCGACGTTCACAGAGGAACACTGCCGGGGCCCAACCACAAGACGACTCAATAGGAGGAAGGTATGTATTTCATGGTAATCTGAAAAGGAGTTGGGAATAAAAAATGAACAAAAACATCCTCATTATGAGGACTGAAACATTGTACATGGGTCATTTTCCTAATTTCTGAGCAAAGTAGAACAAAATTGGAATTTAAAGTTATTTCTCAGTCTTTCTCTGTATAAGTTAGGCTCCTCTAAAATCAGTTTCCAGTCACTGATAGGAAGCCCTGATTTAAAGTTGTTAGCATAAGGCATATGTTTTGTTTGTCCTTGTACTTTCCTGACACATGTTGCAACATGTCTTTCAGCCATTTTGTGGTTCTTAAGACTGAATGATTTTATTGAAAGCAAGTTTAATTTAGGTTTTCACACCAGTTTGAGGGTGGGTAGGGTGTGGATTAGTCTTACCTGTGGACTTCATATGAACACTGTCTGAAAAATGAGGCTGTGAAATGTTTTGTTAGCATAGCAGCTCTCTGATTTTGTCTTCTGCTGTTGGTCTCTATCAAAATGGTTTTATATACAATAGTATGAAGAGTAAGATACAGTCTCTTGAAAGTAAAATTATGGATCTGATTTAGGCATGGAATGTCATTGTTGAAGTACTCAGAACTCTACTTGTCAAACATAGTTCTGTAATCTAGTGATGGTCAGTGGTTAGCTTGAAGTGAGTCAGTGAATTCTAGTTATTTCTAGAATGATTACTTAAATTAACAGTTTGAGTTAGTCATGTTTAAATTGGTAAATCATTAAAAAGAAATTGAAATGTCAGATGTAAAATAAATTATGATTTATTTTGACTGTAAGTAGTTATGGGTATAGACTTTAGACCAGGACAGCTTTGTGTGTGAGTTCTTTCTCTGCTGTAGAAGTTGCAAGTCTTTAGGTAAAGGTTGCAGGGGAATCTTAGTTCTGTTTCTTGGAGTTGCTGGTTATCTTATGTAATGTAATGTTCAAAGTTAGTGTCACACTTAGAGAGTTGTACTTTGTTACATTGAGGATATGAAACATCCTTATTTACCTTTATGGTGATGACTAAAAAAAAATAGCATTTTTATTAATTTGAATAGTATTACTTTTTGAGAATGTAATCCTAACATCTGTGTCATTCACATATTGACTTTGTGTGTGTGTGTGTGTGTGTTTTTAATTATTATTATTTTTTATTTCCCCTGGACAGGGTTTCTCTGTATAGTTCTGGCTCTCCTGAAACTCACTCTGTAGACCAGGCTGGCCTTGAATCCAGAGCTCTGCCTAGTTCTGCCTCCATAGTGTTGGGGTTAGAGGTGTGGGACACTTCACCCTGCTCATTTCACATAATGTTGAAAATGGAACATTTCAAAGACTTGAGCATTCAACACCACTGTAATTTAGGTAGTAATAAAATACATAGGTCCCCATGCCTAATTTTGAGATATGGATAATAAGTATAATTATCAGTATAATTATGAACAGGGAATATATAAAAGTAAAATAAAAATGTATTAATTCCACAGTCTACTTGACCTTGGCATATTGTCAGTCTTTTTAAAACTGTGCAAGTACATGGGTTTATATGTTCATATAAGTCTTTTGAACAACTGAAGCTGTACATTTTGAGTACATAAACTGTCAAGAGCATCGACTCTAACTATAGCAATATTTTGTCCATTTGCTACATCAGTGTTCTATAGAATTCAAGCAGTTTCTTACGGTGACATGTTTATAAATGAGCTGGTTTGGACATGGTGCTCATTTCTGTATTCTCAGTACTCTGGAGGGAGGCAGGGAAGACCCCAAATTTAATGCCGTATTAGGTTACACGGCAAGTTCAGGGGCATAGAAAGCTAGACCTTGTCTCACCCATATCTTCCCAAAAGCTAGAAAGAAACAAATGGAAGTTATTAATTCTTGTGTTTAGAGTTGTATTCGTTTAAATAATTTTATAAGGATATAATAATTGCAATTCCACTAGATTGTAGAATGGCACATTTCTAATTTAAACATTAAGAAAATAGTTCATTACTATGTGGATGATCTGAGTATGGGCACACATGTTATGTGTATAGATGAGAGGACAACTTTGGAATAAATACACTTGCACACATTGTAGGAATCAAACACACGTTGCTAGATTTGTGTGTTACGTACTTTTACCTGACACACCATCTCCCGGGTTCTACATGTATTTTTAAGATATCCTTTTGTCTGTCTGTCTGTCTGTCTGTCTATCTATGCCTTTAATTAAATGCTTATGTATGTGTCTGCTATGAGTATATGCAGGTGCCTTTGGAGTTGAGAAGAGGGTATTGGATTTATACATGGTTGTAAATCTTGTGATGTATGGTAGAAATTTTCACTTCATCTTAATGCTGGGAAATCTTCTCAAGAGCAGCAAATGCTTTTAACTCTTCAGCCTAAGGCAGTCTATCCTGTGCTTCCTTTTGAAGGAAAAAATACAAATTCTAAATGTTTGAAGATGGTGGAAAACATGCAAAGAGTTTAGCTTTGCCTTCGTTTTAGCTTTACTTTCCTTCACTTCTGTAAAATGTAGCTTCCATAATTTTCTTTGAAACATTTAAGTTTAAAAAAAAATGACTCTATGGATCTTTTACCTGCATGTGTGGCTGTGCACTACATGCATGCCTGATGCCTGTGGAGGCCAGGAGAGGGGATGGAGCCACTATTGGGTACTGGTTTGTCTGGAGGCCTAGTCATTGTTTTTAATGACCAAGCCATCTTTCTAGCTGATGCTCTCACACTTTTCAGCCTTTAACATGTCTTTTAAAAAGATAGTTGGCAAGCCAGGCGGTGGTGGCGCACGCCTTTAATCCCAGCACTCGGGAGGCAGAGGCAGGCGGATCTCTGTGAGTTCGAGGCCAGCCTGGGCTACCAAGTGAGCTCCAG